TCCATATAATGCAAGCTGTTGTTGCAAGCCTTACTTGTTCTTTTTCTAATTCTGATGGGAGAAAAAATGTTCAGGTGCTCGGGGTCATACGGTTTATGAAGCTCAGACCAGATATACCAGTAGCTGATTCCTAGGTGTGAGAAGTTAGGAGTACAGGAAATTATGTATGCATTTGAGTTGTGCAGGGTGTTTTTCAAGATGATGTATGGGAAAAGATGATTTCTCGAAATAGATTGGAAGAGAGGATGGAAAGCCCCCAAAAGGATTCTAAAAGAACCAGCCAATTTTCTGAAAGCAAAGCAAAAAAAAAAAAAAATTGATGAGTGATGTGTTGAGGGAGAGAACTCTTCTGCAGAAAGTTTCAGTGCCCAGGGCTAGAAAGGGAAAGTGAACCAAAGATCACCTTCTGTGGCCACCCCTGTCAGTTTGCAAAGAAGACTCATATCTGGCCGAGGGGGAGTGAAATGGGGTTGCTGCCCACCTTTCCTCCCACCAGGCCTGGAGAGAGTGGGCAGACAGAGGGGGGAGACCCGGGGGTGTGTGTGAGGGCGGGAACAGGCAAGAATGAATGGGAGGCGATACTGAAGGGAGCACAAGAAAAATTCCAGTCAGAAATCCTGCATAAGCAGAACGCACAATAGGGAAGTGTATGTCATTGCTCTGCATAAAATACCTGCTTAGATGTTAATTTACTGAAAGCTATGCAAGCATTAAATAAGGTTAACCTTTAACTGGGGCTGAAAAGTAAATAAAAAGATTGGTTTGGGAGGCTGGGGAGGGAAAGAAAGATGTCTCAGAAGACGGCTTAAAAATTAATGATTTGTCAGCCCTCTCGAGCAAGAGAGAGCGAGAGAAAGAGCTGAGCTGAAGCTGCCTTCGATTTGCTCAAGCTCTTAATTCATCTGACCCCAGCATGGATTTCTCTGGTTAGGACAGCCTTCCCTGTCCTAGTGCGCTCCTTAGGCATTGGACTACAGCTCACATCATCCACAGCCACCGTGCACATTGTCTATATAAAATAGCCAGGAGATCAGGAAAGTAGCAGATGGGCCTAGCATCAATATGGATTGGTGATGATGCTTCTTTTTGTGTCTCCTCCTTCACATGGCTTTTTGGGAGGGAAAGATGGGGGAGGGGGGAAATGACTGGGCTTGAATACGCAACATCAATAGCTGGCCATGATCAGGGAATCCTTCTGGATCAGCTCTGGGGATTCAAAGTGGGTGCCACTGTATTGTGCTGGTTCTCTTCCTCCCTACAAAGTTGATTCCAGTTGGCGTTGATTGGGAGTGAGAGGCCCTCCCTCAGCCACTACAATGTGTAGTTCCACAGGGCTGGATAATCTCTCCACTCCTTTTTAACATCTACATGAAGCTGCCGGGTGAGATCATCCACCACCATGGGGTAAAGTACCAGTATGCTGATGATAGCCAATTATACATCTCTGCCCCTGGCAAACCAAGCAATGCTACTGATGTCCTGTCTTGGTGCCTGGAGGCTGTGGGGAGTTGGGTGGAGGACAACAGGCTTCAGCTGAACCCTGGCAAGACTGAGCGGGGTTTGGATTTTAAGGCCTTCTCAATCTGGGACTTTACTATCTTTGTGCTGGATGGAGTTACATTGTCCCCAGGAGAATCTGTGTGCCATCTGGGGGGTCCTTCTGGACTCGCAACTCCTACTCAAAGAGCAAGGAATTGCGGTTGTGGTGGCTAGGAGGGCCTTTGCACATCTTTGTGCTGAGATTGAACCCAATCCTATCAAATTTCTGGAAATCTCTTAAAAGCTGTTAGTGGATCCTATGGAAATAGGGAAATGACTGTATTGCGTGTACACTTGAATGCACGCTCCTCCAGTTAGTTTCATTTATGTTTATGTTTTAATTGGTTTTTAATCGTTTTGTTTCTATTGTATGCTGCCCAGAGTCACATCTGTGAGATGAGCGGCTATATAAATTTGATAAACAAACAAACAAATGCACATAGTTGCTGATGCCCAAGTTGTTATTTTTATTTTAAATATATATTATCTTTTTCTTGAAACAAAATGATCCTTATTGCCAAGGTCTTTTTCCCGCCTCTCTAATGATTGATTCCTAAATTCAGCAGCCACTGGGTCAGCTTTTGATAGCAAGCATCCAGCTTCCCTAGCAAATGAAATATTAGACAACAATTATTAAAGCTGTGCCTAGCAATACTCCTAAATCCATTAAGGGGTTTGTCGTGTGTTCTAGAAATTTTAAGCTGTAATTCTCTCCTTTTCTTGTTGCTGGCCATGTTGCCTGGGGCAATAGGAGTGGAATTTGGGAGCGCATGTTTAAGCATGCTGCTTGCCCAACTTGACTCCTATAGGAAAATGTCCATATACATTTTCAGAAGCAGTGGGCTGCTTCCAACCAGAGAGAGAGAGAAACAAGATATGGGGCTGAGTACAAAGCACATGCAGAAGATTAGAGGCCATAGGTGGAAGGCAATCCTGAGTTATGGCCACAGCCACCAGCTGAGATCCTTTGTGTGTTGTTGTTTACCTATTTACGCAAACCATCAGTCTTCCTTTTGGACATATTTGCTGCTGCTTCGGAATTTGTCTGGAGATTCCTCTGTCATTACCGGAGTCAGGTGGTAAATTTTAAAAATAGCAATGAGCCACATTTTCATATTTCTGCCTTATAACCAAAATCAATATGCCTGATCTTTTTTGTGTAATGAAGTATATAGCTATTTGTGTTCAGCTTGTGCCAAATACCTTATCTTATTATCTTATCATCTTAATATTGCATTCTAATCTTGCTTTTCCTCTGGGACTTGAAGAGTGTATATAGAAAGGGCTGTCTTATTTCATCTCCACAACTCTATGAGGTGGGTTAGACTGAAATAGTGACTGGCCTTAAGCCATCCAGTGAACCTTTAGACTGATGAAACTTGAATGCGTCTCGCCTGGCCACTACTTTAACCACAATGCTTCATTGGTCTTTCCCCCTCTTACCAAACCAGGGTTTGTTGGTGCAAAGACAGCCTTCACAGCAACGCTTCTGAAAATGGATTGCTGGAGTCATGCACCATTCATCGCAGCTGAGCCTGCAATGGAGGAGGGCCTCCTTCTCCATACTGAAGGTCCCTGGTTCAACCTCTGTATTGCTGGACAAATTCAAGTCCAAGTTCTTGGAGAATTGCTGCTAAAACAAACTCTTGGAAGTACCGTGTGTGGAGAATGAAGGATCTGGCTCACCAGAATTGAGCTTGTGACGTCCCCTATTTTGTGTGTTCCAAGAGCTAGCGGGAATCTGAGTTGTCCTGCCTATGCTTAACGGCTGAGATTGTTCCATTTTTTATTTTTTAAAAAAGCCTGACTTCCCCACGGATGGGGGTGGCGGAAATGAGTCAGGGCAGAATCTGGAATATGTTAAGAATGGAATCTGCCCCGCACTAGAGCCTGCTGGCTTTTCAAATTTCAGCACTAGTTACCTCACGCCGTGCAGTTTTATTGGTCAAACCGAAAATCCTACATGATTAGCAATCATCCTTGGGGCCAATTCCCCATGAGCCACCCCTGCTGAAGAGGTTGCTGGAAACATTTATCCTGCAGAGGCAGCTCCTTGGAATGGAAGGCTGAATCTTCTGCTTTCCTTGGAAGGCAGCCGGATTTCCTCCAGGCCCTTTCCTAGAGCTGTCTTTTAGGAAAGCCTTGCCAAGCAGAATGCTACGGTCCCTTTCCATGCTTTTTGGGAGCTGCCAGTGCTTGGCACACACTGTGAAGACCGGACTGGAGAGATGGGGGGAGGAAAGGGCTGAGCCAGCATTGAGGTGGGGTGAGACAAGCACAGAGGCATGGGACACATTTATTCAGTAGTTTGGGGCTGATGAGATGCAGGTGAGCAGATAACACATGGTTTGGATTTCAAGGATTAAGGAGGAGGCGATTGGAAACATATTGCTGGCTAAGCCAGCTGGCTCATTCCAGGAGGGTGTGCCCAGCAAAGAGTCAGAGCAGGAAGCCTTACCAGAAATAGTAGAGCGAGTCAAAAGCACAGGTCATCCAGTCCGGTCCCTGCAGTCAACTACAGGTCAAGCCAATCAGTCAAGACCACAAGCCGGCCACAGTCATCCAGCAGATGTATTTCTTGTGGTTATTAAAGTTCCAGTGAGCAAAGAGCTCTGAGTGACTGAAACCAGAGAGACAGGCTGTTTTTATGACTTCATGTGCAGCATAGATAATCATAGTAATTGCAACTTGGGAAGTCTCCTTCTCAAGACAGACCTCGTGTACTCATTTTGCTTTTTGAAATGTGGTGTCTTCCAGATGTTTGGGATGGCATAACTCCCAAAGTTCCCTATGAGTTTTGTAGTCCTAACCCGTATGGAGGAGAGTTTGGCTAAGAAACTAGTTAACTGGGTTTTTTTCTAAAAAAAACAAGTTGTTTCTTAAACTTCCTCCACTAGGACTTTGGAAATAAACAAAGACCTATGTTATATGGCACTTGTAAGTTCATTCATTGTTATTGCTAAGTATAAGGTTATGGTGAAAATGCTGCTGCTGCTGCTGTTATAGAAAGAGACAAAAAGTTCTTCAAAGCAGGAGGCCTCTTATTAAGCCAACTGATCTTTCAACACCTTATTTTGTAATCAGTTTTGTCTCTGGCATGTGCATGTGAGGTTCCCATCTATTTGAAAGCAGCCCTGGACCTCTGCAATCAGAGAATATGCAGAGAAAGAAAGAAAGAGAAAGAGAGAGAGAGAGAGAGAAGAGAGGAAAGAAAGAAAGAAAGAAAGAAAGAAAGAAAGAAAGAAAGAAAGAAAGAAAGAAAGAAAAAGATCCCTATAGCTTTCAAGTGTCTGCTCCCACATTTGCAAATCACTCTCTTTCAGCCCAATTCACCATACATGCTTGTTGTGGAAAATAGGAGGAGGAAAAAGTAAGGTATCCGCACCACCTTGAGTTATTTATAGAAAGAATAAAAGCAGGATTAAAAATAATTGAATTAACTAAATAAACTTCTGTTTCAGGTCCTTCAAAGGGAAAGGTGGCCTGATAGGCTTTGCACTTCTCTCTTCTAGTAATTGCTGGATTTTTTTTTTCTCTGCATATGGGCAGAGAAATGCAGACGATGAGAAATAAGGAGATGAACCATAGAAAAAAAGCAGGTGAACTATTTCATTTCCCTTTTTTTTTTTTTTTTTAAAATTTGATTTATATGCCGCCCTTCTCCGGAGACTCAGGGCGGCTTACAATGCGTTAAGCAATAGCCTTCATTCTTTTGTATATTTATACAAAGTCAGCTTATTGCCCCCACAAACTGGGTCCTCATTTCACCTACCTTAGAAAGGATGGAAGGCTGAGTCAACCTTGAGCCTTGGAGAGATTCGAACCAGCAGAAATTGCAGGCAGCTGTGTTAATAACAGGGTGCACTAAACCCCTGTACTATCAAGGCTCTTTTGCCTGGAATGGGGAATAAGGACTTTGTTATTTCTTCCAGATGGGCAATAATTATGTCTGCACAAATGACTTTGTCTTGCACAGTGGGTGAGGACCAATGGCTTACTCCATACAACCATGTTAAAGTGCTACTCACCCATCCTTGAAGTGGCAGAAAAAAATGATACTGGTGTAAAATATGCTGCTCCCATCCCAATTGCCAATCTCTATCTTGTGATTGTGATACCAAATGAAAGTGTTCTATTCATTCTGTACAGGTCAAATTAAGAAAAGGGGCGGATGAATTCCACCAGCTTTATTTTTCTCTCTCTTCCCCGTGATCACCAGCCAGCAGGAAATGCCCACCAATCAGGCTCTTTAATGTGGTCTGGAGAGGAAATGAGTTTTGAAAGATAGCTGGAGCCATTTGTCAAGATGTGATGCTGAGGCAGCTGATTTGGGGGATGGTGAAAGCTGCCTGGGAAAACAGAAGAGGCACTGCTGGTGAAGGCCGGCCCGTGACTGCCCAAACACAGCTAGGAGGGGTAGTGGGAGAAGGGAGAAATTGACTTTTTACCCACTTTTTACCCACCAAAGCTCTGATGCAATGGAATTGGGGGAAGCCAATCTATCAAGATCTGTCATGCAGTCTAGAAAACAGCTGGCAGATATGGGAGTGTGTGTGGATGCAGGGTGAAGAAAGAGAGACCTGCTTCTCCTCGGGGGGGGGGGAAGCTCCCCCCCCCCGTGCCTGCCAGCTGTTTGGAAGACTAATTTTAAACAAGGGTTTAGTGCTCTTCTGAAAGAAGGATGCATTCATATTCGGATTGCTTTTGAATGTGGGTTTACCACTCTTTCAGGAAAACATTGAAGCCATGTTTAAAAGTGACTCAGCTGAGTGCTGTCCTCCAGAGAGTGGAAAAGCTCTCTTCAATTTCACTTCTCAAGGTCTGTCACATGTACATATGATGCCTCTTTGTTGGGTTTTTTTAATAGCATTTGGGTTTAGCATTTTCCTGGTATTATATGTATTTTATTTGGCTGTTCACCGCCCTGAGTCCTTCGGGAGTAGGGCGGTATACAAATTTAATAAATAATAAATAATAATAATAATAAACCCATGTTCAACAGGAGCTGAACAACAGCTGAACATCTGAAAAAAGGCTGAAGGTTGCAACCTGAAGCAAGGAAGAGCTGTTTCTCTTCTGTTTCACCCTGCAATCCACCCTCCCCCCCCATTTTCTATCTCCAGAGATCTGCTGTTCAGGATCATTCATATCTCCAAGTTGGGATTTACACCTGGTTGTTACAGGTCGGTAGCCTGGTTTGAAAGAACTGAGCTGTCTGGCTACCCAAGCCTTAGAGCAATGATGGTGAATCTATGACACAAGTATCAAAGATGACATGCCACAAAGTTTTTGGTATCACACCAGCATTCACCATCACCCCGCCAACTACTATTTTGGAAAGCATGTCCCATTCTCAAGTTATTTTCAGAGATTTCCAAGACCATGGGAGAATGGGGTATGCTCTCGTGCAGTCTGCAGGAGTTGTGTGAGAGGGTCGTGCTTTCATGTGGCCTCAAAACATTGTGTGAAAATGGGTTGTGTTTTTGCACAGTTTTCAGAAGCTGCAAAGGCCACAGAAGAGCATTCTCTGAAGCTGCTGCAAGAATGAAAGCCTCCTCCGATCCAGAGTTGCCACAAGGGCCTGTCAACAGAAAAAGAACACCGCTTGTAGGGAAGCAGCTTGCAACAGATCCTGGGAATCACATACACAATTGGACTATATTTTTTATTTTAAAAATATGAATATATAAAGAATTACTTCTCTTTTGTTCCTGTGTATGTGTGTGTGTGTGTGTGTGTGTGTGTGTGTGTGTGTGTGAGAGAGAGAGAGAGAGAGAGAGAGAGAGAGAGAGAGAGAGAGAGAGAGAGAGAGAGGAAGTGACATGCCAGCAGAATCAAGGTAGACATTTTCTGAATTTTTGAGCCGTCAAGTCCAAAAGGTTCACCATCACAGTTCTAGAACATAATTTCCAAAGATTGGAGGTGTGCGAGATTTTCCCATAATGATCTAAAGTGACCAACAGATGTTGGGGGAGTGGGGTGGCACATCCTGACTTCAACACTGATTTGCATCAGATTGCACCCAGGGTAAAAGTGTGGCTTAGGAATGAGATGAAAGCAGCTGAGGAACCGTGTTTAGGTGCACCTGGGAGAAAATCCCATGACTGCTGGATCCAGGCCCAGCAGCTCAGGTGTTGTGGCCAAAACGAACAAGTGTCCCTGAATGTAGAATGTGGAATGTCATGGAAGGGTTGAAGGCTGTTTCCAGCCTATTTGTCGGAGGCTTGATTCATACATCTAGTTTCATTTTCCATATTTCATTTCCCTAATGATAAGCTATACATTAAGAGTCAAATAATGATAAATGCTAAACTATACATTAAGAATCAAATAATGGTAATCAGAGAGTGGGGAGGGAGAAATTTGCAGGAGAGATCTAATAGCCTGGAGTGAGCATTAACTCTTCATCTAACTGTAGCTCTTCCTTGCTAATGTTTTCTCCTCTAACCCCCTGGGGACATGCTCAGTTTCTTTTCCTCCAGCAAATTTCTGGTAGAATTTAAAGATGAACAACCTGGGAAACGAGTAGAAATATGCACGAAAATATTGGCAAGTGCTTAATCGACCCCCATATCTACTTATTCTCCTTCACAAACATCCTAAACTATTCTTGGCTCATTTTTCTCCAGGCAAGTTAAACCTACTTCGGACAAGTTGACAGTTAGCACCTGTAAGATATTTTATGGCTTGAGTTGACCAACAAATGGTACTTTTCCCTCAGCCATAAAAAATATACAACAGCAATATATTAAACAAGCCACCATTTGCTGCTTTTTGTTGTCACCGGAAATCAGTTGCCAAAAGCTATTAACACATTCTAGCTCACAGTACTTTGAAGGGTGCTCCTTTAGTTAATTTGAGAGAAAGAAATCCATATGCAAAGGGATAATAAGCACCTTCTTGGCACCAGCAGACCAAGCTAGCTCACAACTTGTTCTCTCTAGTTACTTCTCTAGCAGCAAATCAACACTAGAGAGACATCTAACTCTTCAGAGAACAGTAGGAAACTTCTTACTGTGAAATTTCTAAGGACAAATTTCCTAATTGTGAGAACAATTAACCAGTGGAATGGCTGGCTTTCAAAAGTTGTGGGTGCTCCATCATTGGAGGCTTTTAAGAAGATACTGGACAGCCTCTTGTCTGGAATGGATCGAAAGAGGTCAAATGGAGGATCTAGACTTTCAGAGATCTGCTTGATTTGAAGCCCACTTTGCCCCTAAATTCTCCCTAGTGCTTTTAGAAATGCTCAAAGCCTTTCATTTTATCAAAACATAAAGGTCTTTCCCTTGATTTATTCCATCCATTACATCAGGAACTTTTCCCCGCTGCTGCTGCTGACATTGGATTACGGGCTTCGGCGGTTTGGAGGTGTTATGTATATAGGTTTTGGCGGGAAGTTTGAATTAACTAGCCATCAGCTGATTGGTTGACCACCACAGCTGCAAGGTATATAAGGGGAGCTGTTTCCCCAGGTCAGTGGCTGGGTTCTCGCCCTACATTAAAGAGCTGTTGTCACTCACTGCCTGGCTTGCTGTGTCCTCATTCACCCAACTTAACATTGGCGACGAGGGTGGGATTTTGAGGCCAGAAGCCATGGAAAGAGCTGAAGCCACGAGCCGACAAGAGAGCTGCAACCCCGAATCCAGCCAGGCGAGCGAGCGGAGTACCTGGAGAATCTACCAACGATGTCTGCCTATGTACCGCCAGTGCCTTTCAACCCAACGGAAGAGAAGTGGGGATCCTATATGTCCCGCTTCAAATGTTTCCTGGTGGCCAGCGATCTACAGGGGCTGCCCGACGTGCGGAAGAAAGCCCTGTTCCTGAGCCATTGTGGACCCAAGGTGTTCGACATGGCCAAAGCCCTGTCGGAACCGAACTTGGTCCACACCATCTTGTGGCAAACGCTCCAGACGCTGCTGAAGGACCACTATGCCCCAACGCCATCGAAATACGTCCAGCGGTACGAGTTCCGGCAACACATGCAGCAGGAGGGAGAATCGATCAGCGAGTACATCACTGCCCTGCGCAAGGCTGCAAACCAGTGCGAGTACTGAGACTTAGATGAGATGCTTCTAGAGCAACTAATCTGTGGAGTGAGAGATATTCGCTTGCAGAGGAGGTTGCTCTCAAAGACGAATCTAACATTGAACATTGCACTAGATGAGGCAAGGGCTCAAGAATCCTCTACCAAAGCAGCCGAGAGACTACAGGGGACAACACAGGTCAGAACGGCACAGAGGTCAGCGCCGGTTCATCAAGAGACCGTCTGCACTGAGAGCGAGCAGGAGTCGGATGAAGAGGTCTGCAGAACCGAACAGTACCAGCAGGACCGGCAAGGTCACCGAGACACCTGTGCCAGCTGTGGGGGACCCCATCCACGCCAGACCTGCAAGTTCTGAGACGCCATTTGCCGGCAATGCGATCGGAAGTGTCACATTGCCAGAGTCTGCAGATCCAAGCAGACCCCCAACTACAAGCCGCAGAGCAGCGCTAGCCAATCAGAGACGGCGCAGTGGAAGAAGACCAATCAGAAGGGTGGCCACAGGAAGGGCGCGAAATTTGAGGACCTCGAAGCCTGCACCATTCGAATTGGCCGGACCTGCACATCCCCCGGAGAGAAGACCTACACAACGGTTGAAATCGAAGGGCATGAGTATGTAATGGAGATTGACACCAGATCCCCAATAACCATCATGTCCTGGGAGAAGCTACAAAAGGACGTCCCCAGCATCCAGAAATGGCACCTACGGCAGCAACGACTCGGACTGCGCTATTACACCGCATCCCCGTGGAAGGAATCGGCGAGTTCCAGGTGGAGTACAGGGAATTCCGGGAGAAGCTTCCCATCACCGTGGTCAGCTGAAAGCTCCCAAGCCTCCTGGGCATGGACTGGTTCAGAGCCCTGCGCATGGGATTCACCGGAGTCCGCAATGTGTGAAGCACCCTGAAAGACGACCTGATGCAGGAGTTCCAGGACATGTTCGACAAGCAGCTCAGCAAGTATGTGGGGACCCCTATTTCGTTCAACCTTGACCCCAATATTGCCCCCATCTGGTTGAAGCCCAGGAGGGTACCATTCGCCCTAAAGACAAAAATCTATGTTGAACTGGACAAATTGATTAAGCAAGGGGTGCTAGTGCCAGTCGACCATGCCCGGTGGGAGACCCCAATAGTGACCCCATTAAGCCTGACGGGTCTGTGCGCATCTGCGCGGATTATAAATGTATGATCAATAAGGCTCTCCAACAGAGCGCTTACCCGGTTCTGATCGTACACCATCTGCTGCATTTCCTAGGGCCCGGCAAGATCTTCGCAAAACTCGATCTTGCGCAGGCGTATCAGCAGTTGCCTGTAGATGGCGCTACCGCAGAGGCACAGACTATAGTTACACACAGAGGTGCCTTCAAGTGTACCAGGCTCCAATTCGGAGTCAGCATGGCTCCCGGACTGTTCCAGAGCACCATGGAGCGACTGTTACAGGGGATCCCCGGGGTGGTCCCGTATTTTGATGATGTGCTCGTCACCGCAGAGGACGAACAGCAGCTAGGGGGGAGACTTAGACAAGTTCTAGGGAAGTTCAGAAGTGCAGGACTCAGGGTCAAATGCAACAAGTGCATGATCGCAGTCCCTTCTGTGGAATTCTTGGGGTATCGGGTAGACGGAACCGGCATACACCCCACCGAGAGCAAGATTAGGGCGATCCAAGAGGCCCCCACCCCCAAAGACAAGGCGGAACTACAAGCGTTCCTGGGACTGATTTTCCTAAAGGACAAGGCAAGAGTAGCGAAGCCCCTGCATAGATTGTTGGCCAAAAAATCCACATGGGTTTGGGGGAAGGCTGAGGCTATCACGTTTGCTGCCGTAAAGAGACTCCTGTCGGCCGAGAGTTCTCTAATCCAGTACAACTCTACGCTTCCCCTTGTTCTAGTTGACTCAAGTTGACAGTCCCCTTGTGATGCGTCCCCATTCGGCGTGGGGGCTGTCCTGAGCCATAGACTTCTGAACGGTCTAGAGGCACCCATCGCCTACTACTCCCAGACTCTTTCAAGCGTCGAAAGGAAGTCAACTTGAGTCAACTTGACAAGGAGGCCCTTGCATCCATCTCCAGAGTCAAGAAGTTCCACGAGTACGTGTTCGGCAGAGACTTCTACCTCGTCACGGACCATCGCCCCCTTCTGGGTCTCATAGCAGAGGACCAACCCACCCCGGCAGCCCTGTCTCCCAGGATGACACGCTGGGCCATCTTCCTGGCAGCATACTCCTATCGCCTGGTACATCAACCAGGGGTGAGCATGGACAATGCTAATGCCCTCAGCTGTTGCCCATTGCTGGACAAGATAGAAGACCCCACACCCAGAATTCCAGTCCTGCTGATTGACATCTTGGACTCGGGGCCCATCACATCTGCAGAGGTGGCGAGGGCTTCAACCAAAGACCATGTACTTCGGAAAGTCACGAGCTGGGTCACGAGGGGGTGGCCGGAAAAGACTGAAGGTGGGGAATTTAAACACTTCACTAACAAAAGAGGCGAGCTGACAATGCAAGGGGGTTGTCTATTGTGGGGCGATCGGGTCATTGTTCCCTTGTGCCTAAGGGAAAAAGTGTTGAATCTGTTGCATGAGGGGCACCCCCGGGATCGTAAGGATGAAGGGGTTAGCTAGGAGTTACATTTGGTGGCCCCTAATGGATAAGGACATCACTGAGTG